GGGAAGAAGTTGGGTGGACAGAGGGCAAATAGACCACTTGACCTCCCCCCCTCCCCCCGTCCAGTTTATCTTCCCTGCTGGAGCAGTAGAAAGGGGACAAATAAGGCAGACCTCCAGTAATTAGGTTCTATACCTGGAAAATTATAACAAATGTATACATTTTCCATATACAGAATTTAATTATTGGGGGGTCATCTTATTATTTGAGTAAATATGATATCACAGAGGAATAGTAAGATGTTTCACAGATATTCAGAATTAAACATTACCACAAGAATATTATTTTTCTATTCAAGATGAAAAATATATAGATTCAACTATTTTATATGATAGAAAACAGTGCAGTAGAATAGTATGCCTGTAGTAACGCGTCACACTTACGGGATTAGACAAAGAATTTATGCATATGCCAGATGGACTACCTTTGCCATAACATAGCTTTTCAATAATTTTACGTCGCAACTTTCACCAGAGAAGTGTTTAAAAGTTGTATTCACGCTATTGCACCAATGAACTACAGCTGATTCCTGAACATTATGAAGCTGTCATTATAACAGCACTGAAACATCAAACACCAAGAAGAGGAAGGTGAGTTCTCTCAACCAAATGAAATGCCAGAAATTTATATAGCCAAATTTCAGTCTGGTTAACTAAATTTGTCGAAGCAAGATGGCACTGTTTTTATAAGAAAGCTCTTAGATTCATATGCCTTTATTTTTCCTTTAATATCAACCAAAAAATGACAAATCCAGCAAGGCTACTTGTTTGCAGCCTGGTGGGTCACCAGTTGACTGCAATGCAGGTGCAAATCACCTACTGAACTAAAGCTTTTTTGTTTTTTTAATTCTTTGGTTTCTTTCCCTTGGAGGTCACTCATTCAAGGGCTAGCTAGGCCTGTCACTACATGAATTATGAGATCTGATAATATTACAGTTTAATGTGGTATAGCTACAGGCAAAGGCAACTGACTGAACAAAGATGCACCCCATGAAGAGCACTGCTCAACTGAATGGGGCCCCTCACAAAGGCAGAAGAAAAATCCACCATGGTCAGCTGCAGTACCAGACCCTGCAGTGAATATGCAATTATGTTTTCTACAATCACTGTGCAACTGTCATAAAATTTCCTCATGAAAGAAAACAGTATATAATAATAATTCTGTTCATCAAAACCCATCTTAAGTTATGTTTTAACTCCTACCATTAAGCATCTAACAAAGTAAATATAGTGGAATGAGCTCCCAACAATAACTTGTAAATACACCATTACATGCATGTACATACGTAATGTAATGTAGCAGCAGAAATAAAATGGTTTGATTGTTAATTATTCACTCCGCGTTGGATTAGACCTTATGCTTTTTCTTTTTTTCTCAAAAAGACTACAAGATCTTTACTCTGATGGCACTTCCCTCTGCATGAAAATTAATCCTGCTCCAGCAATTAATTTCACAACAGAATTAACCCCTCTCCCCACACACGATCAGTTTTGTTTAATGATGAGAATGAAAATATACCTCTACTTAGCATTTTGTTTTTATGGCTTATGGGGGCAAGAAAGGAGAGAGAGCTGCAGGATACACTATGAGATTTTGTTCTACACTGTGGTTCTGATCAGCTCGACTCATCAACTCAACTCTAGAACAGTTCAACTCAAGGACTGGCTACATACCTTTGCCATAGCCTCTCATATCTTAATATAGTTAAGGCCCTACTGAATTCACGGTGGAAGTAGGGTGCATTACAGCTCCTTTAGTTTTGCATGCTCCTGCCCCGCTGTTCATTAGTGGAGGGGCCCCCACTTGTGCCTTGCTCTTGATCAGCCCCCGCTTTGGCATCCTTTCATCCATGGGAGATGGTGGATACTGCAGCCTATGACATAGATGGGTTTGCAGTATCTCATGTGACTGAACAGTCCAATCCGAGATTTGCATGATCTGTGGCAGAGGTTACAAATGTATGTCATGGTTGGGTGGTTCGGGAGCTGCCTGCTTCCTATGGGCTTTTTTCTCTTCAAGTTGTTGGAGCCAATTTCTGGCATGGACTTTGATGTCCTGGTGGAGACAATGATGCCACTTGTTACCATCGCTTACCAAGGTTTCCCATTGATCAGGATCGATTCCAAATGACTTCATATTGTGCTTACATGTGTATTCGCGATGTCCTGTTGTTCTTGTTCCCTCAAATAGTTCCCTGTATAGTATGTCCTTGGGTATATATCCATCTTGGATCCTGGTTAGGTGGAGCAGCTGGTGTTCCTGAAGGTGAACCTTCCGTTGCTGGGGTTCCCCAAGCTCCACGTGCAGATGGAGTGAGTGCCACCCTTCTCACTCCGCACCTATTTGCTTTATTTGCTTTCAGAATCTTGAGGTGCACTTTCATAGAAATCCCTGCACCTATCTCCTTGGACCTTGGCAGGCTTCATGCCCTCAGAAAGGGCTACCATCTCTGCTGTTCTCATCCGAATCTGCAAACAAATTACAAAGTTATAGGTATTTTAGTGATTCCCCATTATAGTCTATGGCCAAATCTCCGAATCGAATCACTGTCCCTCCGAATCGGCCGAATCCAAATCCAAAGTGAATACTTGCTGCTTCGCACAGGCCTATTGAGTATGCAGTGTAAACAGTACAGGTGGAAGCTGTTTAACCTTTTTTCTTGATGTGCATAAGCTGTCCATGTTTCCCCACCATACATGATAGTGCCGAGTATGCAAGGCTTGTACACTAGCATTTTGGTCTTGATGGTAAGCTTTGAGTTTTTTCATGCTCTTTTAGTTAGTCTGCTGAAGGTGGTGGCAGCCTTTCCAATGTGAACATTAAGTTCTTCATCCAGTGAGAGGCTGGTAGTCACTGTAGGACCAAGGTAGCTGAACTTTTGGACTACTGCTAGCTGGTTCCCATTAAGGATGATTGATGGGTCTTGTGGAACTCCCCATTCTAGTACAACTGTTTTCTTTATGCTTATGGTGAGTGCAAATGGCTGGCATGCTCTTGAGAGGCAATCCATAAGTTCTTGTAGTAGGTCTTCTTCATGGGCTGTAAGGGCAGAATCATCAGCAAATAGAAGCTCCCTGATAAGTACCTTTCTAACTTTAGTTTTTGTCTTAAGTTGTGACAAGCTGAAGAGTTTCCCCATCCAATCTTGTGTGGAGGTACACTCCACCTTCCATGTCTTTAAACATGCAATTCAGGTGTCCTGAGAAGAAGATTCCAAAGACTGCTGAGGCAAAAACACATCCTTCCTTTACTTCACTTTTCACCTTGAAGCTGTCCGAAGCGGTCTCATCAAACTGAAGAACTGCTTTCATGTTCTCATGGAAGGAACGTATAACACTTAACAGGATTGGTGGACATCAGATCTTTTCTAGGACTGTGAATAGGCCTGCTCTACTGACTGTGTCAAATGCTTTGGTAAGATCCATGAAGGTGATTTACAATGGTTGGTTTTGCGCTCTGCACTTTTCTTGAAGTTGACGCAGGGAAAATATCATGTCCTGATCAGCAGGGAAGTGAAAACCGTGGTTCTAAGTATGGCACTGTTTTTGCCTCCTGCTGCTGAGTGGCCAAGAAGCCCTGGCAGCCCTGCTACTTGCTGCTGACCAGCGGAGAGGCAAAAAATGGTATCTTGTTTAAAACTATGGCTTGCCTGCCAATCAGGAGCAAGTCACAAGCAGGGCCCCTCCATCAATCAGCGGCAGGAAGCATGCAAAGGAACCTGCAAGACTAAAGGAGCTGCAGTGCACCCCACTTCCACCATGAATTTGGTAGGGCCCTAAATATAGTATTTCTCACAGAGTGTCCATCTCTGTAGCATTTGTCCAGTTTCACTGAGTTAATTTTTTACTTCCTTTTGCTGTGATATAGGTTGTGTCTCTTGTATTTTTGCTGGGTTTTTTAAATAACTATTGCAGTTCTTCTCACTTCCTATATTCTATCATCTCTGTC